CTGGCTGTCCTCGCTTCAGGAAAAAAAATGAAGACGGAAAAAACCCTCCTCTTACCACAGTCTGCATTTAGAAACAGCCTACGTTTTAAGTAATTGGAACTGATGATCCTGACAAACATTCGCCTCTAAAGAAATAGTCTATGTAAACGTAAACTCTCGAGATCCTTCCAGGCATACCAGCACAACTGTCTCCTAAAAATTCTTCCCAAGCCATCTGGTGCCTTATCTTTGTAGCCAAGCCGTACAATAACTTTAAAAGAGGATTGCTGCTAGCAGGCTTTAGGCTCAGGACTACAGATTCCCTTGGAAGTATCACAGCTAGCTCTGAACCCGTCAGCCAGGCAGCTCTGGCTGCGTGAATATTCCCCTTCTTTCTATCACGACCCAAAATGTCCAGCTGCGGTTCTCTGGGGAGATCCCTCTCTCATGTGGTTTGCAAAGGGAGCGAAGGAGTTACAGGGAGAAGCCGGAGACGCTGTGTACTTCCAAACGGGGATTTACACTCCATGAATTCTCTCTACAGTGGCCCAGCCTGAGTGGCATGACGTGAATGTGGTTATGAAGGCTGCAGCCAATTCACATCGTTCGCGTAGCTCTCTCTGCACCTGCCAGGGGAACGTATGGATTCCAGGTTTGCTCCTACAAAGCCTTTGCCATCCAAAAAGGGTACTTTCTGAGTGAGAAGGCAGGAAGGCATGGAGCAGAGATGGCTGATGGAAACAGCTGGGGAGGAGAGGACAACACTGTTTCAGCTTTGCGGATCATTCAGGGGTTGCTCTCCCTTGGTTGCATCCTGCTACTTCTGAGCCTGCTCCTTAACTTCTTACTTAAACTCCATCATTTAAGAAACACTGAGTTCTTACTGTTAAGTGCCCTATTTTGGTTGTGAAAGCAGAGCTTGACAGCAAAGTTAAGTAACAAAGCCAAGGCTGAGGGCACCTGACAGCAAAGCCATGATCCAGGCACTAAACCGGAGGGAGGGATGCGGTGCTGGCTGTGCCCGACTGCCCAGGCAGGGCCACAGCCACCGTGAGAAACAGGCAGGTTGTTGCAGAGCACGTGGCTGAAAATAGAACCCGATCACCGCTCGCTCATCCAGGGCAAACATAGCATAGTTGGGGAGAGACCAAATCCCTTTTTAGATTTTTGTCACATGTTTGGACGCTGACTCTCCACCGCCTAAGCATCCCTGGTCTGCTCCTTATCAGTGCCGCTTTCAGAAATGAGGAAACTGGGCGCAAGAGCGTAGGAGCATGTAGGACGAGAGCTCCTTCCTCATCCCTGCCAGAGACTTGCTGGAAGTTGCATCTGCAACATCACGTTTAAGCAGCATCTCTTATTCCTTTCACATCGGGGGAGCAATCCCATATCACTGCTCGGGTCTGGTGCACCTTCTGGCTGGAGCGATGATGTGATGTCAGCAGTTGTACCAAGTGATGGAGCTACCATTAGATTACCTTCTCCCTCCCTGTGCCAGTCTGCGCTGGCAACCCTCAGCTATCTGGGCAGCATTTTAAAACGCTCTGAGTTTTGGTGATGCACCTCTGGGAGCAGAGCCACTTTTCAAAGTTAGAGAGAAATGTTTTTTCAAGCTGTTGCACCTTGCTAACGAAATACCGGGTGTTATATATGCTTGTCAGGTGGGTATTAATGAACATGACGTGATGCTGTAAAATGACACAGAGGCCCCGATTCTGCACTTCTCCAAGTCAGTGGAAGTTTTGTTGATGAATTTTGACAGGAGCTGGATTAGGCCTAAAACATTGCCATTTTTTAGCCACTGACAATTTTTTTGATGGTTTTGTAACAGGTACAGACTTCCAACCACTATACAAATACAACACGGCAAAGACCTCCCCCGGGGAGCTGCCTTTGCTTTTAGCTGGCTGCCTTGTGACACCTCTAGGGAAATCAAACAGTTTAGGGGAAAAAGATCTTGGTATCTGTAAAGCTGCTTAGCTTTTTTCCTACTCTAATGGATATTTGTATTTTACTATCTCTGGAGACAATCTACTATTTGGGGAAAGAATGAAAACAACCCTCCTAAAATAGTTTTACAGTTTAATGATCCCTGCACCAAAATACTACATTGTACGCTTACCCTGTATGCAGGCTTGAGTGGGAGAGTGGGACTGATCACAGGATCAGAGCTCCACAACTCCGTGTCCTTTGCCAAATTGACCGTCTCGGTCTCCTCTTCATAAGGTGATGGTGATACCTCGCAGACCTGTTACGATAATTAGTTTATATGAACAAAAGTACATGGCTCAAGGGGTAAAGCTTTTTGTACCTGCAGAACTTCCAACATTCCCTTTTGGTGTGGGATTACAGAACATCTGCTCTGTTTAGTCCTCCTAGTATTGCTGTTAATGTTTTGGCAAAGACACCTGGAACACAGCGTAGATGCATATGTACATAATATTACAAGTCGGGAGAAGTGTATTCAGGTCCTGTTTGATTTACAGCGTGTCAAACACAAAAGATAAACCAATATAATGTTTAGCTTGATGGCTTAATTTGCACAAAAATGGGAAGATCCAGAATTAAGTGTTTCTCAGCTGCTTTAGGACCTGTCCCAGATCACTACCTGTAGTAAAAAGGGTAGGGGATGGGGTCTATAAATGCCCATCAGGCCAAAGGAGCTGTCAGGCTGCAGTGAGACACAGAAGGTGGTCTGCTCTGAGCATGCATTCTCCACAACGCAGATAAGAGGTATAAGCAAAAGGAGTGGGCAAACGCTCTGCAGCAATGCTGGGAGCAGGGGAGGGGTGAGCTGGAAGCAGCAGTTTTAAGTGGAAAGCCTCAAGGGATCGTTATGTCCCTTCCGTGCTGACCTGAAGCTGAAAATCCCACACATTTGCAATGTCTATGTGGGCTTTGCTGTTCCTTCCACCCAGTCCCCATTTCCTACTCGTGTATCTGTTTTCCGGGGTCAAAGTTGTTTCTAAGGCAAACTGAGAGCCAGTTTCCTTGCGTGTGAGCGGAGCGATATTAGAGGCTTGTTTGCTTTTCCTCCTGTACCTTCTGTTCCCAAAAGGTGGTTCCCCACCCAGGGAAGGAGCAGGGATGATGTCTGCAAGGACAGGGTTATGCTTGCGTTTCCGCTGGACCCTCTGTGGTGCCTCTGTGCCCAGGGATGGCTCTCACAGGACACAGCTCCTGTGGCAACGTGCTGGCTGGGAAGACATTTGAGTTGCACAGTTTGACCTAGGACCAAGCTGAAGGACATTTGGGTCTTACTTGCTTGAGTGACATTGGATTAGTCACTCCAACGTGCACATCTCCATATTCAGGGGACCAGGATGGGACTGAGGATGGGACCGAGGATGCTCTGCAGCATCCAGGCGTATCATTTGGCATCTCCCTCTGCCACCGGCCCAAAAATGGGGCCTGCAGAGGTCACGCTGTGACAGCAGTGACAAAAAGTGCTGTGCTGGTATGGCTGTGAATGGCAGGTACCACTTCCCAGCCCTCTACGGGCCAGAGGAGCAAACCCAAACCAACCAAGCGATTCAGACCTCAACAGCAGCAGCACGCTGCGGGGGACACGGCTCAGGGGAAGAACAGAGAGCCCCAGGGAGGAGTGGCGCTTAAACAGCTACTGTAGATGAGTTAAACCGTATATTTAAATTAAGTCTACACCAAGAACTTGCAAGTGTCAGCCGCTCCAAACAAATGCAAAAGGCTTCAACCAACCTTAAAATCCAGCCTTGACACAATTGCTGAAAATGTCCCTTAAAGAGAAGCCTTTACGGGAGCAGAAGAGCTTCCTAAACTGAGAAAAAGGCAGCACAGAGCAGCGGTATCCTTGTTACCAGCACAGGCAGATGAGCAAGAAAGGCTGAAATCCAGCCAGCAAGCAGTCGACTGTTTGAAGGGAATGAAATCTTTCACTTTCTGACCACACAGATTAGATGGGAGAAACTGTTTGCTGTCTTCGGTTATCTTGTGGCACTGAAGAGCAACCATCAAAGGGAAACAGTCTGCCTTCTGGGATAATCGTTGGGCAAGCTAGTGGATGCAGCAGATAAAGGAAGATGACGCTTACCGGGAAAGGCTGAGCGGCAAAGAACAAAGATTAGTGACTGGGGATTGCCCTCACCTATGGGGAAAAGGAAATGGTAATGAGAGTGAAAAGCAGTGCAAAAACTGCAGGAAATTTGGGTTCCCTGAGTGTATTCTTGCAGCAGCGTGCACTGCCTTAAACTTCCTCCTGAAGTTTTGCTGTTGTGATCAAGTTCTCATTTTGTGGTTTATAGGAGAGGCATTTGCAGCTCGACATTTGCAGTATTTACGTAGGCAAAATTCCCAGTGTTTTAAGGGGATTTTACCATGGGTAGGTATGGGCTCTTAGGGGTTACTTTTGACTGGGTGAGGACTTGGAGTCTGCACAATTACCATACCGTAAGTATTAATAGATCCTTCCTAATAGGAAAGTTATTTGAATTTAAGATTGTAGCTTAGTTTCTCTAAACTCCACATAATCTATTTACTTACGCTGCAGCTTTCCTTCTCCACTTCCTAATCTCCAGCTGTAAAGATTCAAAATGCTGCACAACATACAACTCTTAAGTGTATCAATGGAAATGGCATTGTAAGTAAGTAATGTCACGCTCCTAAAACATGTTTAGTGCCACTGCAAAGCCAGGATTTGGTCCTGGGAGCACTTCAGTCCACTCCCAACTCTGCCCCATAATTGAGACCTAATTAGTCCCTCCATGGGTCAGCTCCTCTGTTCTAAAAGATGGAGGGGTTTTGTTTCTTGCCTACCCTCCTGTCTGTGTGTTCCAAGGTTTCAGAGCGGTGAGCGAAGCCCGTGAGGATGCTCCTCTACAAGCCTGCCTCATGCCATTCAGCCCAGTGCCAAGAAGAAAAGGGTCCAACCTGCCAAAATCACAGGTATGTGCTGCCACTTCTCACCCTGTTCCAGCTCCTGAGCATCTCTGAACCCCACCGCAGAGCCAAATTAACTGCTTACCTTGTAGAAAACTAACTTATACAAAAAAAAAAAAAAAAATAAAAGCAAAGCTTTGATAGGTATTCTTGTGTCAGTGAGCTGAATCGGAGCAAAGCAGCACCCACCAGCACCAGACCCAGCACAAGGGGATGCTGAGGCTGGGAGTGCTGGGACACGGGGTGCTTGTGAAATGGGGGACGGCGGCTGCCCTGGGGCACTCTGCAACCCAGATAAACCAGCAGCGGACCTGTTTCCCAACACCGTCCTGATGCGAGGAGGAGGAGGAGATGAGCGAAGGCTGCGCCCCTCTCCCCCAGGACACCGGCAGGACTAGCTCCACGTAAGCCTCCTCCCCTCCCCGCTGACTCAGCTCTAATGCTATGCTCAGTTTTTCGCTCTCTCCTTCCTCAGGCAACTCTCTTCAACTTTTCCTCACTCCCCCTTTGCTGACCAGCAGCTTCATATCGCTCAACACACCCAACTGGCAGCGCCGGCTCGCCCCGGCACTCCTGGGATACGTGTCTGCACCCACCTGAGCGCAGGATACAGCCTCCCCCTCCCCTGCCACCGCTCCTGGGGCCGTATCCCAAGCTCCAGCACCCCATATCCCTCTCTCCTTGAAGTCTGAAAGTTTTGGGGCAGATGTGGAGGTTGTGGGAAGGTGCTAGAAGACTGTCAGGGGGTCGGTAAGGTACAGGATGCTCCCGCTAGCCTGGCGGAGCAGCACCACAGCTCAGGGAGCAGACATTACTCCTGCTACGAGTTAAATCATTTATTTGATGATGAGACAGAGAAAGCCTCAAGAAAACAATCAGAGGGAGAAAACACGCCTGGAGGGAAGCCTGGGCTGCTATGCGATGATGTTACGAGATCCCCCTTTTTGTTCATCCAGCAGCCCGTGGACCTCGGTGGCTTTTCCGACTCAATCGGGACACAATTCAGTGTGGGACGGGTGGGGATGCCACGGTCTTTCATGCCGAGCCAGGCAAGGCCATGCAAGCCAGGGGTTCGCGCAGCAGCCCCAGCAGGCTTTGCAGATTGAAGTTATTTTAGAATAGTTTGGTCTTGCTCCTCTTCTGAGGCTTGCTTTCTTAATGTGTGTGCATGAGCAAGCAATTAGCTGTGGGGAAAGGAAGATGTTACCGTGCAGGCCCTTTGCAGCATTAAAAGCAAATCTGGTCCAGGTTTGCTCACACAGGTGAGTGCATGGAGATACAGCCACGTTTGGTCATGGGGAAGAGCTGCTCCCGGCAGTAGATGACACCTACCAGAACGGGCACATCACTGCTCCTACATACACACAGTGGAAGCAGGGAGACACCCCTGCTCCCCAGAACTGGGGGAACCATCAGGCAGCCGTGGCTGTGCTCATGCCAGCCCTAAGGCTGGACACAGTGAGAAGACCCAATGCCATTGCTGGAGCTGACTGCACGCAAAGCAACTCAAGCCTGGAAGCATCCCAGCTTTGCCAAGCCCCCGAAGCCAATATGGGTGAGTTATCTTACTGTAAGCATCCTAAACTTTAAAATTAAACATGGTTTAGAAGCGTGGGCACAATGCCACGCTGGGAGGTTATGTGCCAATTACGCCCTGCCTTAAAGGCGTGCTGACTTGGGTCTCCACCAACGTGGAGATTCCTGCACCGTGCTCTGCTGTGCAAAGCTGCTGCCGAAGGCCTGCCCAGCAGTGTCCTGGTCCTGCCCAGCAGTGTCCTGGTCCTGCCCAGCCACAGAGTTAAAGACACATGGCTTTGCAGGTGATGCTTTGCTTACTTTGACTTATACTCATTGTACAAAATCAGTAATTTACTGCGAACGGTTGAGGTTTGTAGGGCTTCACCAGTTCGTTTAGAAGAGCTACTCTGCCCAGAAGTGGATTCTGACTTGATTTTTTTTTAAAGCCTTCCCTTTCTGCAGCAAATACTGCTACTTCTGTTCTTTGTCCCAAAGTTGAGTGAAGAAGGTATAGAACACTGACATTTTCTATGGAAGTACAAATCCGAACTTCCAACTGTCTATTTTCTTTTGCCTTGCCCACAGGCTTTAAATTTCATTGCATCTTGCCCCATTCTGGAAAAAAAAAACCCAAAACCACAACAAAAAGCACCAAAAACAAAACGAAGGTTTGGGGGGTTGGTTTGAGGAAGAGTAGAAGACAATGCTTAATTACATTTAACTCTAAAGGATGTCTTAAATTTTTATAGAAAACTTCCAAATTGTAAAACAAAACACAAACTCAGATAAGAACATAATCTTCCTTTTCCCTCAGGGTGCCTGAAAACTGCATGACATAAAAATAACCCTACACCAAAGTTGCTTGAAGTGCCTCATATCTGAGAAATGCAGAAGAAAACTGCTATAAAAAGTGTCGGGGGGGG